ACAAAATACTTACTAGTGGCTTTGTTCCAGGAGGGCAGATTGGCTGCTGAGGACACTTTCCACACTTTCCCTTGGTAAACAGAGGCAAAGAAGACAATTCAAGGTTATTAATTCCAGTCCCAAAATGCAGCTGTAGATATTCCCCACACCAACTAAAAGATTTAGAATATAAAGTACAAAATTGGAAAGATATTTGGGACACTCATCTGGTCAACCTCCTTAATGTTTTTTGAGACAAGCACTTCAGCTAACTCAGGTCTTGAATGTAAGAGCATTGTTTTCCTCCGCAATAGTCTTCTGAGTCTAATAGCCCTTCAAAGTGTGGCATTGTTGCCTCGGTTAATTTAACTCCTTTAACAACAATATTCACTCACTGAAATCCACTGTTTAGTGACTGGGTCAGATTCAGACTAGGAGTTCTCCGCCTCAAGGATCTCACGGTCCAGGGTGGAGACAGCCCCCAGAAATAATATTACAGGACAAAGGAGTGCAGAAGAAACTCGTAAGTGCAACTTGTTCCTAAAGCTGGAGGAGGCCAATATTCAGTTCTTAATTTGCCAACTAATGGACAGTGTAGTGTGGTTGGTTGTTTAGAGTTCTGGCTGCGGGGCCAGACTGCCTGATTTGAACGCCTTCTCTATCACTTATAGCTGGCTGTGTGAACTCTCTGTGCCTCATTTTTCACGTCTGTAGAATGGAAAAACTGTACCTACTTTATATGGTGTTGTGAGGACTATATGGGTTAATACATGTAAAACATGTAGAGCAGTGCCTGGCAAATAAAAAGTGCCCAGTAAATGTCATAGTTATTATTACATTTTATTATGTTATTATTTCACTGGAGTGAAAAGACTTATTGAAGTACTGGTTCAGTTCTTTGATTATTCTCTTGGTTATAAATCTATCACTTTATCTTAGGACTGATTACAGAAAACTTGCTCTTTCCCTTTGGTATTTTTTCTACATGGGAAATGGGAGTGAACTAGACACTCTTTTCTTTGAACAGTTTTTCCTGTGCTTGAAATCCATTATGTGACTTTCCGTTACCCAGCCGATGGCAACACCTAGCTCTTTAATTCTTTCAAAAATTTCTCTTTGTTGAGATGGGGATGAGTGTTCAAGGTATACCTTGTGTCAACCCCTTTAAACCTTGTCACCCAAAAAAGGAGGGAGCAGAGCCCTTCTTGAAGCCCAGCAAGAGAGACAAAATGCCAGACTGTTGTGGGGCCCACACACTCTATGCCACTTTGGGTTACATGCTTCTCTCTGCCTAGAACATTCTTTGGTCTCTTCGTTCCCTAGTCAGGCCCTGCTGATCCTTCAGCATCACCCAGAGGGCTGGGTGAAGCCCTTCTCCTCTGTGTCTCTTAGCACATGTTAAGTACCCAGGAAACATCAGTGGTCATTATTATTATTGAAAGTTTCTGCAATCAAGATACAACCAACCTACTATGCGAAATCATGAGCCCATTGAGGAGAGGACCATGTCATATTTCTCTTTGCAGAGTTACAACCTGGTATGCTCCCTGGCACATCAGAGATACCCACACAAATATTCATTGAACTACATTGAGATCTCTTAATAGAAAAGTCTTATGCTTAAAAAATGATTAGCAAAATTAAACAAAAACAAAAACCATAACAATCCAATACTCTTTAGCTGTTCTGGTGGTATAGTGGTTAAGGCATTCAGATGCTAAACAAAAGTTGGCAGTTTGAACCCACCAGCCGCTCCACTGGAGAAACATGAGGCAGTCTGCTTCCATAAAGATTTACAGCCTTGGAAACCCTGTGGGGCAGTTCCATAAAGTCCTGTAGATTCCCTATGAGTTGGAATAGACATGATGGCAGTGCGTATATATATATGTTGTCGTTGTTGTTATGTGCTGTCGAGTCAGACCTGACTCATAGTGACCCCTCCTTGGGTTTCCAAGGCAGTATCACTACGGAAGTAGATTGACCTATCTTCCTTTTGAGGAGTGGCTGGTGGGTTTGAACCACCAGCCTTCTGGTTAGCAATCAAGTGCCTTAGGCACTATGCTACCAGAGCTTTTATATATATATATATAT